TACCTCTCTACCCTTTTTACTTGAAGTTGATGCGTCTGAAACAGGGATAGGCGCAGTGTTGTCCCAAAGACAAAGTTTAGATAAGCCGCTGCACCCTTGCGGTTTTTTTTCCAAGAAACTATCACACACTGAAAGGAGATATGACATTGGTGATAGAGAACTTCTAGCTATCATTATGGCATTAAAGGAATGGAGACATTTGTTAGAGGGCACCGTCCTCCCAGTTACTATCTTGACTGACCACAAAAATTTATCGTATATGGGGGAGGCCAAAAGATTATCTGCCAGGCAGGCACGTTGGTCTATGTTCCTTACACACTTTAATTATGTGCTTACTTACAGGCCTGGTTCTAAGAACACTAAGGCAGACGCTTTGTCACGTCAGCACGAACCTACCACCTCTACAGAGGATACTTTGTTCCCTATTATTCCTGGAGTCAATATTATCGCCAACACCAATGTCAAAATACACTCTCCATTGCTCGCTGATATTATGAACGAACAATCTCTTGCTCCCGAACGTACTCCTGTGGGCCGCTTGTTCGTGTCCCCCAAATTCCAAGTGGACATTATTCGCTGTTTCCACGATAGCAAGTTCGCTGGTCACCCCGGCATCCACAAAACTTACTGCCTGATCTCCAAAGACTTCTGGTGGCCCGGTTTACGTAGGGATGTGGAAGACTTTGTCAAGGCTTGCAATGTTTGTGTCAGGAATAAACTTCCGCGGGATCTCCCTTGTGGTTTATTGCAGCCCTTAGTCGTTCCCAACAAACCTTGGGCTTGTTTGGCTATGGATTTTATTGTTGATCTACCAGCTTCCAATAGGCATACAGTTATCCTCACGGTCCTTGACAGGTTTACTAAAATGGCTCATTTCGTTCCCTTGCCTAAACTTCCGTCCTCCCCCGAACTGGCCGTGATATTTGCTAGAGAAATTTTCCGTTTACATGGTATTCCCAATGAGATTGTGTCAGACAGGGGTTCCCAATTTATTTCCCGTTTTTGGAGATCCTTCTGTTCACAGTTGGGCATCAAACTGAATTTTTCTTCGGCCTATCATCCTCAATCTAACGGAGCAGCCGAACGCACTAACCAAAAAATTGCAATATCTACGTTGTTTTGTTTCTGAACACCAGGATGACTGGGTCGGTCTGATTCCTTGGGCGGAGTTTGCTCACAACAACCTTGTTTGTGGTTCCACTCGTAATAGCCCCTTTTTCTTGAACTATGGCTTTAACCCTACTGTTCTTCCGTCGGTGTCTCCTTCCCAGGGTATACCGTCGGTTGATATTCATGTAGCCAACCTGAGAAAGTTGTGGGATCAGACTCGACAAATTCTTGAACGTAGTTCCGCGGTGTTTAAGTCACATGCTGATAGGCGTAGACGTCCTGCTCCTATTTTTTCTCCGGGGATAGGGTCTGGTTGTGTACCAGACACATTCGCCTGAAAGTTCCTTCCTTGAAGTTTGCTCCTCGTTACATTGGTCCTTACAGGGTACTGAGGAGGATCAACCCGGTTTCTTATTTGCTGGATCTACCTCCTACTCTACGCATCCCTAACTCTTTTCATGTGTCGTTATTGAAACCTCTTGTTTGTAACAGATTTTCCTCCCGCTCTGCTCCTCCATCCTCGGTCCGTGTGGATGGTCAGGAGGAATATATCATCAAGTCCATCCTTGATTCTCGTATTTCTAGGGGGAAGCTGCAATACCTCATAGACTGGAAAGGTTATGGTCCGGAAGAGAGGTCTTGGGTTCCTGGTAATGACGTGCATGCTCCTCGTCTTCTTCGGGCCTTCCACGTTCGTTTTCCCTCTAAGCCCGGTCCCATCCGCCCGGTGGGCGTTTCTAGAAGGGGGGGTACTGTCAGGGTACCTGTTGGTGATGTATCCAGGGAGGACATCCTCTCTGCTTAGGGCCTCCCTGCCCCTAGCATTTCGGCATATTCCGGCCGTTTTCGCGCCGGCCGCGCTAGCTCCTCCCCCTTTTATGACGCGACGGCTAGCGTCGACGTCATGACGTCGGCATTTGCATAAAGTGCCGGGAACCGCTATTCCGGACCTTTTGGGGGCGTGGTCTCTATTTAGGTAACAGGGTATTTAAAGGAAACCTTTACTACTGCTCATTGCCCTGTCGTGGTTCTAGCTTGCTAGTCACTCAGCGCGTTCTTTATCTTGTGTTTCCGGTTTTGACCCTTGCTTGTCTTTTGTCCTGTTGTCCTCTCCTCTCCTTTGACTCGGCTTGTATCTCGCTTACCTGTCCTCCGGCTCCCTTGACCTCGGCTTACCTTTTGACTATTCTTGCTTTGTCCTTACGTTAGTCCGGCCATTCTAAGGTCCGGTATACGTACCTCATTCTGTGCGCACTCTGCGTATTGGATCCCTGTCACTTTCCTGACAACTGCAAGGCGTGGCGGCGGCCTAATATGGTGGCTGACATCGAGGACTACTCTGACAGCTCGGACGACATCCCCCTGCACAGCCCGGAGAATCTGGGATATCGAGGGACGGCTAAGTCTGTACAGCCGACAGTGGGGCTCCTGGTCACCACGGAGATACTCACCTCTCTCCTCTCAGACCTGCACCAGACACTATCCACGGAGATCTCCCAAGTAAGGGAGGATTTCAAGAGGTTCACCGCTCGCCTCACCACTATGGAGCAGATTACCCAAACGCATGCTCCGCAGGTGACAGATCTCCAGACACAGGTGAGAGAACTTACCTTGGCTCACACTACACTGACCCACCAACTAGCAGCCATGGAGGATAAACGTAGATGGAAGCACATTACAATCCGAGGCCTCTCTGACACTGTGACCCCAGCTGAGCTGCCCCATCTCCTCCCCATGCTTTTTGCAACCCTGCTGCCCCCTAAATTTCAAAATGGGCAAGATAAAACAGCACTCATGAGTGCCATCAAGGGGAAGAACAACTTCAGTTTTGAAGGCATGGACTTAACATTTTTCTCAGACCTGTCACGCACTACCCTGCAATGGACACTGTTCTGGCGGCATTGGGCCTTATGACCCCCCCGACTACTACAGCTTTGGACCCAGCCAATACCGTCCCGTTTGTCCCAACTCTCAGGGGCGCATCTGGGATGAAGACTACATGAACCATTGACTTTTGTTTTTCATGGTTTTGTTTTTTTCATTACCGCATACTTTATAGATTGAGGTTTTCCCCTCCAGTTTACCTTTAACACAAAACTGACCTCTGACTCTATGCCATTCCAAGTCTCCTGCACACACAAGGTGGGCCACCCATGCGGTCACCCACCAGAGACACCGGGAATAACAAAGAAAAGCTGGCTCCACTTTACCAACTACCCCCTCCCCAGCTCCAATCAGCCCATATCATATTTTGTTTATTGACGAGGAGTTATTTTATATGGTACATTAGGTATCTCGTAGGTACCCTCTGTTCTTTTCGGTTGCCTACGTTAGACTAGGCCATGTGTTGGTCCCCACTACCTATATTGCCTACCAAACCTCCACATGGCCACTCACTGTTGTTTCCCTGCACTACCACAACACAGGTATACCGGCCTTATCCCTTAGGGAGCATGACTCTCACTAGCTACCACTAATCACGCTATACTAACGCACATCAGACCTTCTTCTTCATGCTTATTTTATCCTCAAATGTACCTATGCCACCGATAATCCTACTGTTCGTTCATAAATTAACAATCTGATGTTTTAGTTTATACCATTTAAAAATGTACAGTTATTATATATGCCATGCTGATGTTATATAATGTTGCAGTTGGGCTTGTTATAGCTGTCGTGGCTATCCAAGCAAGATGTAATGCTCGCACAACAAAAATAAAGAATTTTAAAAAAAAAGACCCATGAGTTTACAATCTAAAGGAGGTAAAATTTGTGAGAAGTAATGTATCAGGTTTATATAAATAGATTTATTGTAGACACATACATTTGCATGCATTGTTGCATTACAAGCAATAATCCATTATTTTGTAAAGCAGGTTCATGTCAGTTAGCATCTGTTACGAAACACTCTTAAAGAGGAACTGTCATTTTGAATAAAACGTTAAAAATCAATCAATCAATAAATAAATAAATAAATTGTTAAAGGCATTTGCTACATCTAAGGGTAGAAGCAAGGTTAAGTTGTCAACTTTAACAGTGGATGGTTGGTAGTGGATTGGGGGAGTTTGCAAGTTATTTATGATTTTCCAAAAGTTTCTAGGGTTTGAGATGTTATTGTTCACATCTTCATAAAAATATTGGGCCTTGGCCAATTTGTTTGTTTTGTGCATATATTTCGCCATTGTCTATATGCACAGTGATCGTTCATAGAGCTAGTATGTTTGAACTTTGACCACAATGAATCCCGAAACTAGTACATTTGAATGAGGTTAGCTGTGATACAATTCATATGTGCCCCTTTTACTCTCACCTTATGCAGCGGGGCATGCAAATTTCAAACTTGTAGGAGTTTAGACTGAAAGAATTCAGCTGCACAGTCTAGATCTGGGATAAGGCTGTATAAATCTACAAAGGGACATAAAACACAATATAGTGTAATACTGTAACAACACAAAATTGTGCGCAGATGTAGACGAATAAAAGAGTTCTTAGGGTGCCTCCCCCGAAGTAGTGGGGGGCCAGAAATCCCTCTTTCCACCTCCAGGTAGTAGATCCGACACAGGACTTCCACAGGTGAGGGTAAAAAACGAATACATTTATTAAATAAAACAATAAGCAGTCACCATTCAGCATCGGATATATACAGCGGCAAAAGGTCCTACGCGTTTCGTTCTGAGTGAACTTCTTCAGGGTCCGCAAAATAAAATGATTACAATGTTAAAATACATATAAAAAACAAACATATCCTAAAAAAAACCCCACCCAAAGTTCCCTTAAATAAGTCCATTGGTGGATCTGGTGGGCGTCTTTGTCCTCTTCTGTCTTGATTGGTGTGTGAATACACTCTCATCATCTGTTCACAATCCTCCGATCAGTATAGCGATGAATTTGGCGCCTTTCCGTAAAACTGGAACCTGAAGTGTTGTTGTAAATGGCTTCCGCGTTTCAAAATGGGTTCCAGCAGGCATATTGAATGTGTATCACCCTGGTCGTCATGGAAACCAGACGTGTAAGTTCAGCCACAATGATGGAAATCAAATAAAAACTAATCAAAGCTCTGGGACTCTGCTAGAAAGATATATAATAATAACACAGAACAGTCATTTGTTCCACATCTAGATATAGTAGAGAAAGTAACTAACATTATGATTAAGTAATATTGTAGATGTCTGCTAATAAAATAACATTAAATGGTCCTAGAATTTGCTGCTGTCATTTAAAGTGACACAATGCATAAAAAGTATACAAAAAAAGAATTTGTATGAATATATACATATGATCCCTAAGTACAAAAAAACTCCATGTTCAGGAGAAAGCACACATACCTATCTTTATACAGATAGAGATACTCTTCAAATTCTCTTGGTTCAGACCCACAAAATTAAACTAAATAGAAATAAATCAAGGTATAATCTATTGGTTTTCAGTGGATATGACAAAAAATTATGATAATAATAATATGAAAAGAAATGAAACACATTAATCCAGAAAACAAGTCAAATCAATGTCAATATTGAGACCTCTGGGTGTTAGGGTCTGGAGTCTATGGATCCAGAAGGTCTCCCTCTGGGCCAGTCGCTGGACTCTATTGTCCCCTCGCCAAAAAGGCAAGACCCTCTCGATCCCCAGACACCTAAAACCTTTAAAAGAAAAAGGACATACTGTACTATGGGCAGGGACTGAATGTGTGATAAGTCCCTTTTTGATATTATTTAGATGTTCTAGTAAGCGAACCTTAAGAATCCTCTTTGTACGCCCCACATATTGTTTGCAACATGGACATTGCAATAAATATACCACAAAGTCCGTGTGGCAGTTGATATCACTCTTGAGCTTAAAAGTTTCCCCTGTAACAAAACTAGAGAAAGAATGAGTCTACTTGATGGAAGCTGTCGCGCAGACTTTACAGGAACCACAGCCTCGGAAGGAACCAAAGTGTGTTGGATCGTTAACTATAGCCGGTTTGATGGCATAGCTAGGTGCCAGCATATTTTTTAGGTTTTTATTTTTTTTATATATAACTGTCGGATTATCAGGTAAATATGCTCCCAAAATTGGATCCTGTAATAGAATCGGCCAAAAACCTTGTAAACTTTTTTTAATTTTATTATGGTCAGCGTTAAACCGGGTAACAAATGCTGATCGAAAACCATCCTTGATGGCTGGGGGATGTAATTTGTTCTCCAGAAGAGTATTCCTCTCTATTCCACCGTTTATACGAATTTCTCTTTCTAACTTATTTTTATCATATCCTTTGTCCAAAAGCTTCTTTTTAATGTGTGATGATTGCGTGAAAAAATCCTATGTATGTGAACAGTTTCACCTAATGCAAGTAAATTGACTCCTGTCGATTCCTCTGAGCCAGGGCTTGTGATGGCAGCTCCACTGGTGGACAAACCCATTGCCATCAGTGGGCTTGAAAAAACATTTAGTTATAACGTGTCCCATGTCATGGGATAAGGTGAGATCAAGAAAATTTATCTCATCCCTATTCCACACAGGAGTGAACACTAGGGGATATTCATTATTATTAAAAAAATTAACATATTCTTGAAATATAATTGAAGACCCTTTCCAAATAATATCATCAATATAACACCGCCGTAGGACCAGGCTCACCCTCCATTCATGCCCTGACCACACGAACAACTCCTCCCACGTCCTCATGTAGGTGTTCGCATAACTAGGGGCGAACCTGGTACCCATGGCGCTTCCCGTGATTTGTAAAAAATAATCCCCATTGAAGAAAAAATTATTGTGATTCAAAATAAATTGGACTGAGGAAAAAATAAAATCTCTTGTATCAGCCGGTAGTTCAGTATCTTTCTTCATGAAATAATCAATGGCCTCCAATCCTAATCTATGGCTAATGACAGTGTACAGAGAGGTCACATCGAGTGTGGCCCAACTGTACTCAGGGTCCCATTCGATATTTTCTATTTCTTGTAGGAAGGACTTGGTGTCCTTAACATATGAAGGTGTCCCTTGAGCATATTTCTGCAAAAAGGAGTCAACATAGGCTGACAGGTTAGCGGAAAATGAATTAATGCCACTTATAATGGGCCGTCCAGCAGGATCTGGGAGGCGTTTATGAGTTTTGGGGAGGAAGTAAAAAATAGGAATTATTGGGTTCTTTTGAAGCAGGAAATCATAATTATTTTGTGACATGATAGCCTTCTCTCTAGCTCCATCTAAAATTATTTTAAGTTCTAAATTAAATTGACTAGTCAGATCATTTTTAAGGATACTATATGTGTTCTCATCCTCCAAAATACGAGATGACTCTTGTAAATAGTATGTGGTAGTCATTAATACTATCCCCCCCCCCCCCTTATCGTCTTCCCTAATTATCAGATCATCCCTTTCAATCAATTGTTTGAGTATGATCTCCTCTTTCTTACTCAAATTATAAGGACAAGTGCTCTTATTATTTTTTTTTTTAAAGTTCTTTTTTTTTTTTCTCTAGTATCTCTCTATATTTTGCAAAGGTCGTTTTTGGGTAACGACCTTTGGAGGCTGTTTTTTGTTATTCAAAGTTAAGTATTATCATATACTTTTTGTATTTTATTGTTTTGATATTTTCAGCTTTGGTGTCATATCTGCTAGATCTGGGATAAGGTTTAATCTGTGCTATGATCATTTTTTTTTTTTTTAATTCTTTATTTAACATTTGGCAATGACATAACAATCAATCTGCCGCACATATATTACACGCTTTCCCGCTGATTACATTGCTATTGAATAACTCAGCACACCGGGCCCCGACCCCATTCCCCCAGCTCCCGCTCCTCCAACCAATTCCCAGGGCCGTGCACCTTGCTCCGAGTCTTTGGCTTGTATGTGCGTCCACTTGGCTCTTTAGTGATCCCTTCCCATGTCAATGCCACTTTACACAGAAGTCCAACTTAACATTAGTAAACCAGAAAGAATGAAGTTGCCTCCTTCCCCCTTACAGAATCATCTCATTGTCACCCCAGGCCTCTGGACCTCCCACTCCATCCCCACCCCCATCGACTCCCCTGAGGAAGAACGCTAATCCGTGGGCCCAGTCCCATCCTCGGTCCTGTCAACCTCCCTATACCAGCCCGGCAGATGGAGAGAAGGTCTCCGCTGCTCATCTACCACCCGGTCGTCTTGCTTTTGGAGAATATGTCTGTGTATTTGGCTATGTCCCTCCCCGAGGCCCCGACTGGGACACACCAAAACCTTGTACCTACACCATCTGTATTGGACCTGTGGTGACTAACCTAACCTTCTGATGGAAAACAGGAAAGCAAGAGAAGAGTAGGATAGCGAAGAAACAGGGAAGAAAGGAGGAGGCGGGTGGGGGGCAGGGGAGGAGGGGGGGCACACGCTAGGCTCCACCCCCCCTCCCACGCCCCCAAAGGGGAGCTCTCCCATGGCTCCCAGACCCTCTGAAAGGCCGGTAGGGTGTCTCTTATTCGAGCTGTCAAATCGTCCATAAGATGCACTTCCTTAATTCTAGACAGAACTCCGCCAATCGTGGGGGCCGTCTGTTTCAACCAATTTGCCGCTATGGCTCTCCTTGCTGCCAGGGTGATTTTATGCAGGAGCTTCTGTTCCCTTTGGGTACACCCCTCTATCGTCTTGCTCAGTAGGTAGACCCACGGGTCTAGTTCTGGGGCCCTGGAAAATACCTGAGTTATCACCTCCCTAACTTGCTTCCAGAATTTACCTATCACTGGACATTCCCACCACATATGCTTATAAGTACCCTTGGCCCCGCACCCCCTCCAGCACAAGTCCGTGGGGGTCTTCCTCATGTGGTACAGTTGAACAGGGGTGGTATACCAATGAAGCATCGTTTTTACTGACTGCTCCTGCATTGTAACACAAACCGAAGAGGTATGATTAGCCTCCCATATTTCCTGCCACTCCACCCCCTCAAGTTGTTCCCCTAGATACCTTTCCCATTGCGTTATGTATGTGAGGTGTCCCCACTCTCTAGTCTCGGTACAAATATGCTTACAAAGGAGCGTGATCAAGCCCTTAGGCATACGTTCCCGGAGGCATATGCCCTCAAAGAATGTCAGTTTCTGTTGCGCTGCTGCTTGAATGTGTGGGTGCTTTGCGTAATCTTTGATCTGTAGATAGCGGAAAAAGTCCGCTGGGGTAAGATGGCCTAATTGTCTCAGGGACTCGAATGAAATGAACTCCCTACCCTGAAAGAGGTGGCAAATGCGCTGGAGCCCTACTCTCTCTAAGTTCCGGTAGTTCCTGGCTGCCATGCCCGGGAGAAATTCTTTGTTACGCAAAAATGGCATAAGGGGGGAGGGAGTCGAGGCCAAGCCGTACACGGAAGCCACACTATCCCACAGCCGCATGGAGTTAAGAATAGCCGGGCACCCACATGAGGAACTGTGGAAGGTCCGCCCCCACCATAAGAGACTCCAGGTCCACCCATTTTCTCTCCCCTGGGGGTGAGTGCCACATAGCGACCTGTGCTAATTGGCTCGCCAGATAGTAGGAATATAAGCTAGGGAGGCCCAACCCCCCCCACCCTGTCTTTTGTCCTTTATAGAATGTATCTCGATATCCTGTGCCTTTTTTAATTCCAAATAAAGGTCCCAATTGCTCTCTGCAGTGAGAGTAATTGCGTCTTGGAAACACGGAGGGGCAGGGTCTGAAAAAGAAATAGGAGCCTGGGCAATAGGTTCATTTTGACCGCATGGATTCGTCCTATCCATGAGATCGGTCTATCCGACCACGTCTCAAGCTCCTTTATGAGCTTCTTAAATAGTGGTGTGTAATTTTGGCTATATAGCTGCTCTGGGTTCGCCGTCAGGCGTATCCCCAGATACTTAAACGATTGGTGCACTACATTTATGCCATAGGTATTGCGTATGGTGTCTACGCCCCCCCCACTGATGTTAATCGGCAAAGCACTTGATTTCACCATATTAGCTCGATAGCCCGCTATCTGTCCATACTCCCGCAGTACAGTTTGAAGGGCCCCCAGTGAGCCATGGGGCTAGTGACCGTCAGGAGCACGTCATCCACATAGGCCGAAACCAGAAACTCCCTTCCTCCCACTTTAACACCCTGAATATCTGGATGTCTTCGCAACGCC